TCTCTCTCTCTCTCTCTCTCTCTCTTGCTCTGCCTAATTCGATACATTTCTCATTGTGAGATCGTTTCTTGTTTCTGTAAAAATTTATTCGTCATGATGATCGCCGTCGCCACCGTGTTGATCGGCAGAGTGGGCGGTGATGCGACTAAGCCGATTAACAAAGTTTAGATGGGCACGCTTTCAACTTCGTCAACGAAGAATAATCGAACATTAAGGGAAAGAGAACCTCTTGACATTTTGATATCAATGAGTGTGCCAAACTCAATGAACTGAAATCGTTACCTTGTGTTTCGAGTGATGAGAGAAAGAGAAATAGAGAAACGGACTTTCACGAGAATTGACTCGAATCTCTCTGCATCCAGTTTAGACTTAGTTCAAGAGTGGAAAAAGGTTGGCGATTAAAGAAATGTTTTGTTAGTTTCAGTAGATTCAATGAGCGAATTTCTAAGAGAAGGAAAAATTCCTTTAGACGGATAAGCGCAAGTGAACAATATTATCTGGTGTTAAAAGAGTCGTTCGCGGTACGATATTTTACTCTGGGAAAGGTGATGTGAACAGTTTCCAAGAAGTCTGATCAGAATTAATCTAGTTCTGAGCAACAAATACAAAACAGAGAAAATTCAAAATAAGTGATAATACTACATTTGGAAATGTGCGATAGTTTCCAGTTACTGACTTTCCAGGTCAACAAATCCGATATCGGATTCCTGGAAACGGAATTGCATTGGAATCCGACTGGAAAAATTTCGTCGGTTATTACAAATTTTATGAGCGATTTTTTTAGTTATGTTCTATGATGGCCCTGAGAAAATCCGGAAAATTGATCTTTCGGATCCGTCGAATTCCTGTAGGATCCGATAAAATCCTATATTGGATCCGAGTACGGGATTGATCGACCTGGGTTTTAGTAGATGGACTATGTCTGAGTACTTTATATTTAAGTTAGATCGGGTCATAAAGATAAACAAGCGACATCTTTCGCTCACGAGTATAGTATCTGCAGCATACCGATTAATTATTCGTTTCTCTTTAGTTGGCTGTTATTTTCTTTCTTTTGAATGTTCGCGTTTGCCTCGCCTTGTCTCGATCGCGGTCGACAAACTGGATGACGATTATTTCCATGAAAATATGAAGAGTTTCCACTCCTTTGTAGATTCTAAAATGGCTTTTGGATTTGAAATTTTATACAGTAAATCACAATTCTTACCTGATGTACAAGATCTGTTGGCCACCGACAGCGTCCAACATTATAAAACCATCTTAGAAATCATCAAGAAATATGACGACATTAACTCGCTTCAGTTGAAATCGATTCGTGCATTCGACGAGTTACGATAGTTTACTGAACATGTTGCTAACAAACGATGAAATCGAGGTATATTGATGGATTTGAATGATTACAACCA